CTATGATGGTGAGGTTGACGAGGTTGGTGTGTGTGGGTGACTTGAAGAAGTCAACCCGGCACTCGTACACAGCTGCCTGCTGGACGGTCAGGTTGTGTAGGGTTAATGTAGCAGCTCCCCGACTCACAGACAGAGAACCTTCGCTCTTCTTAATATCCGACCGCATCTGTGGCTCCCGACCGTCGTGGCTGCCGACCATCATGAAATGTGAAGAATGAGACATAAGATTAAATTGGATCACTACAGTAGGATTACTTTGCCATGCTAGGCAGGGCCGTAACCACCCTCGACCATTCTCACTCATGAAATTTATATATAGGGTGTCCAAAAACTGACAGTGCTCAATTTTCCCTTCGTATTTCACATATACGCCGTTTCTGATATTCCAAATAATGCCACCTAGAAACTGAAGTGCGTGTAAAGGGTACTCACTAAAAGACTAGAGTGCGTGTAGGGGGAGAGTACTCACCTAAAGACTGGGGTGCGAGTTCCTCGTTTGTACCAGAGAATGAGCTTGGGTCTGTCACCTGGTGTGCGAGGACTGAGGTAGCAGGGAAGGTCACTGGAGCGTCCGGCCACACCTGTCACTGACCACACTGTGGACAACACACAAGTCTATGTAACAGTATTACTTCCCCACACCAGACTGAAGCAAAATAAGTCGCCGGGTCCTGATGAGGTTTTTTCAAGGGTTCTTAAGGAATGCAAAATGGAACTCTGTGAACCATTAACTAATATTTTTAATTTATCTCTTCAAACAGGTGTAGTGTCTGATATGTGGAAGATGGCTAATGTAACTCCTATTTTTAAAACAGGGGACAAGTCGTTACCGTCAAATTACCGCCCAATAAGCCTGACCTCAATTGTAGGCAAATTACTAGAGTCAATTATAGCTGAGATTATAAGAAGCCATCTCGATAAGCATAGCTTGATTAATGATACTCAGCATGGATTCACAAGAGGCCGGTCTTGTCTAACTAATTTATTAACTTTCTTCAGTAAAGCTTTTGAGGCTGTTGACCACAATAAAGAATTTGATATTATTTACTTAGATTTTAGTAAGGCTTTTGATAGAGTTCCGCACCATAGACTGTTAAAGAAAGTGGCAGCCCATGGCATTGGGGAAAAGTGCTCTCGTGGATCGAGTCATGGCTCACTGACAGGAAGCAGAGAGTGTCCATAAATGGGGTTAAATCCGAGTGGGGATCTGTAACAAGTGGCGTTCCACAGGGATCAGTCTTGGGCCCGTTGTTGTTTATAATATATATCAATGATCTTGATGAGGGAATTACTAGTGATATGAGCAAATTCGCCGATGACACAAAGATAGGTAGGATAATTGATTCAAACGTAGATGTTAGGGAACTTCAGGAGGATTTAAACAAACTCTATTCTTGGTCAGAAAAGTGGCAGATGCAGTTCAATGTAGATAAGTGCAAGGTTCTGAAGCTTGGGAGTGCCCATAAAACCCCAGTACTTATAAATTAAATGATGTAGAACTTAGCCATACAGATTGCGAAAAGGACTTGGGGGTTATGGTGAGCAGCAACCTTAACCAAGACAGCAATGCCTAAGCGTACGTAATAAGGCAAATAGATTACTGGGATTTATATCAAGAAGTGTAAGCAACAGAAGTCCAGAGGTCATACTGCAGCTTTATACATCATTAGTAAGGCCTCACCTTGATTATGCAGCTCAGTTCTGGTCTCCGTATTACAAAATGGACATAAATTCGTTAGAAAACATTCAGCGTAGGATGACTAAATTAATACATAGCATCAGAAATCTTCCTTATGAAGAAAGATTGAAGACTCTTAAGTTACATTCACTTGTTAGACGAAGAATGAGGGGAGACCTGATCGAAGTGTATAAGTGGAAGATAGGTATTAATAAAGGGGATATTAATAAGGTCTTGAGGATGTCTCTCCAAGAGAGAACCCGCAGTAATGGATTTAAATTAGATAAGTTTAGATTTAGAAAGGACATAGGAAAGTATTGGTTTGGAAATAGGGTAGTTGATGAGTGGAACAGTCTACCTAGTTGGGTTATTGAGGCTAGGACTTTGGGTTGTTTCAAATCTAGGTTGGATAAGTACATGAGTGGGAAGGGTTGGATTTGAGTGGGACTTTCACATCAGAGCTTATTTCTTGGGTAGCATTGAAAATTGGGTTGGGTAAATGTTTTGTTAGTGGGATGAATTGTAAAGGACCTGCCTAGTATGGGCCAGCAGGCCTCCTGCAGTGTTCCTCCTTTCTTATGTATGTTCTTATGTTCACCATGCTATGCGACATTATTACTGTCCCACACCACGTTATGTAACAGTATTACTCTTCCCTCACTATGGTATGTAGCACTGGTATTTTCTTACTCCATCTTTCTCCTACACAGTGTTATATAACAATATTACTCCCCAAATTATGTTATAGAACCGTATTATCTTACATCAGGTTATCCAGCAGTTATTACAAATTAACACAGTGTTATTTAACAGCATTACTCTCTAATAGTGTCACGTTGAGATATTACTGCCAGTCATCACATTATTGTGAAATATTTTCAAACACATCCATCTTGCATGTTTCTCTTGCAGCTTTTCATGTATGATCATCACTGGCATTCATCAACACTGGCATACATCAGCACTGGCATACATCAATACTGGCATACATCAACACTGGCATACATCAACACTGGCATACATCAACACTGGCATACATCAACACTGGCATACATCAACACTGGCATACATCAACACTGGCATACATCAACACTGGCATACATCAACACTGGCATACATAAACACTGGCATACATCAACACTGGCATACATCAACACTGGCATACATCAACACTGGCATACATAAACACTGGCATACATAAACACTGGCATACATCAGCACTGGCATACATCAACACTGACATACATCAACACTGGCATACATCAACACTGGCATACATCAACACTGGCATACATCAACACTGGCTTTACATCAACACTGGCATACATCAGCACTGGCATACATCAACACTGACATACATCAAACACTGACATACATCAACACTGGCATACATCAACACTAACATACATCAACACTAACATACATCAACACTGGCATACATCAACACTAACATACATCAACACTAACATACATCAACACTGGCATACATCAACACTGACATACATCAACACTAACATACATCAACACTAACATACATCAACACTAACATACATCAACACTAACATACATCAACACTGACATACATCAACACTGACATACATCAACACTAACATACATCAACATAACATACATCAACACTAACATACATCAACACTAACATACATCAACACTAACATACATCAACACTAACATACATCAACACTAACATACATCAACACTAACATACATCAACACTAACATACATCAACACTAACATACATCAACACTAACATACATCAACACTAACATACATCAACACTAACATACATCAACACTAACATACATCAACACTGACATACATCAACACTGACATACATCAACACTAACATACAACAACACTAACATACATCAACACTAACATACATCAACACTAACATACATCAACACTAACATACATCAACACTAACATACATCAACACTAACATACATCAACACTAACATACATCAACACTGACATACATCAACACTGACATACATCAACACTGAAGTGTGAAACTTACAGTACTCTGGTTGAAACAATTTACAAGTAACCAACACTTGGGGAGAGAGAAAACTTCAGACAACGTTTCGATCTGTCCTGGTAGGGCTTCACTTGTCATTTGATAGTGTTCCGAGACCGACCGAAACGTCGCCTAATATTATCTCTCTCAAGTGTGGGTCAGTGATCAATGCTATTAATTATTCATTTGTTTTTCTATTTGAATATAATACGAAATAAGATGTATAATAATAATTAACAAAGATGGTACCGCATAAAACCCGGCAGCCATATTCTATTTTTTTTTTTTTTTTTGCTAATTGAGTTTAATTTCAAAAACAAATGTTATAATGTAATAAGTAAAGGAAAAATTATAACTAAATTAACACTAATATAAAATAATTTTTGTATGTGACTATTCTTAATAATATATTTAAACATATTTTCGAAAAGTTTACCCAAATGCAATAGTTTACTTTGGTAATTGTATAGCCAATAAAACCGAAATTACTATAGCAATACTGAGAGATAAAAGAATAAAGAAAGATACATTAACAAAACGCAATATGCGGTTTATGGCGTTCTAGTGAGAAGACGTTTCGCCCACCAGAGGCTCCATCAGTTCTCAAAACCGAGAATTGGTAAAGCCCTTTGTGGGCGAAGCATCGTCTCATTTCCATACTGGTCGGTATATAATACCAACCTGTGTTTAGTCAACTCGACAAGTGAGCTTCATTCAAAATAAACTTTTTTCTTTATGTTAATGTAAAAATGAATAATTTTGTACCAAAAGACCCTTAGAAAACTTACCTAACCTTATTATAACAAGCGCAATTTAATTTAGCCTAATTCAGTTTAATATATTTTTAGATAAATTTACAATAATTTAATATTAAACAAACATAAAGAAATATATTTTTTCGTTAGGTTCAGAATGTCTTTTGCGAAATTATTGCATTCACAAATTTTTGCTGGCCTTATTTGGCAAGAAGAGCGTTGGTATTTAAGCCAAAATCGCAGGTTTTACCTATTCGGCACGACATATATACAACCCACTGTATGGGCGAAACGTTGTCAGTAAAGGATCGCCTTACACTGCATTTGTGTCTTTAGTCACTGTTGACATAAATAAGATTATAATTTGTTGAAGCTCGATGAGCTGGAGGAGGAAGCTGGTCAGATTGTGACTTGACTCACAATGACCTGACTATTACTAAAACTTGACCTCTTCTGAAGCCGTCGCTCTGCTTATCAGTTTAGCCTCTGATAACCTAGCATGTACTGAGGCCAGAGCCCTACTGTGACTTTGTTGTTAATTATGACTTGCCCTAAGAACTGATCCCTACTGTAACATCTTACACAGTGACCTGACCTAAGCATTACTGCGACCTGGTAGGGAATGTTTCTTTATTTCATTATTTTTTTTGAAGTCCTGTCCCAGCTCTAGGAGACCATTTTATTATTTATGGTCATTGTTAAAATCCATCTCAAACTGAGGAAAACAGTAATAATGTGAATGAAAAGTCTCAATCCATCAGTAACGTTTCAAAACTGACAGGAATATTCTCAAACTGTGTGGAACACTCAGAATATCACGAACGTTCTCAAACTGCCATACTGTCAGAAACATTCTCAAAATTTGAGGTGGTCTCTTAAACTACCAGGAACATTCCCCAACAGTTAGGAATAATAAAACTGCGAGGAACATTCTCAAACTGCCAGAAGCACTATAGCTGCTAAGATCAAGGAACATTCTGAAACTGTCAGGAACACTGAAACAGCCGAAAAAATCTGAAACTGTCAGAAATAATCTGAAAACTCTCAGAATCTTTTCAAAAATATCAAGTAAGTTCTATAACTGAAAATCCAAAAACTTATCACAACACCATTAACACAAATTT